CCGCGACACGTTGTCCCCCACTTATATATCCCAGACTACCCTTTCTAGTAAATGCTAGGGCATTCGTGAAGGAACAAGATAGTTCTAGAAACTAGAGGGCGTGAGAATAGTCACGTGATCTCGATGACGCAACAATATATTAAATCAAGTTCAACATATATATAAAGGTTTGTTACACAGTTAATTACCACAGTTGTATCCAGAACTTTAAACAATTGTCTCTTTTCGTCAAAATCCACATACATTGGGTTCAGTGACTTTAGAATACAACTGACAAGGTGAATTATTCTTTGCTACTCTGTTGGTACAATACAATATGTGATAATTTACTTTAGAAATCACCACTATTTACACTTATGGCTAAACTCACAGTCAAGCAGTCTAGATCTATCTATCTAATCAAACTGAGCTACATGTTGTATGGGGATTTATAGCCTGACCGAGACCTAGAACGTTCTACATTTACGAGATATTATGATGTAATAATACTCAATCAAAACAACGAAAAAACTTATAAGGTCCTATCAACATGTATGATTAATACACAGTTACGTAAACAACCCCGGATACACTACCCCTTTTAACACGTCCCTCAGGAGCCACGGGGTGTCTTTACACTACAATTTGTTGAATATTAAAAGTAAGTTCAATCCAGAAACTCCCAAAGATGGTGGTTTTGGACGTATCTTTTCGAGACAAGTTTTCATTTGTTAATTGATAAATTTTTAATGAAATACAGGATTCTCAAGTCTCCATTCTAGTTAGTACTAAAATCTAACTACTGGGAGTAAATTCAGCATATATAAATAAAGCCACATTCTCAGTATCCTTAATTATGTTTAGCTTTCAATTGAGATACGAACGAGTTCACCTGCGATTCGGTAAGGAAGGTCGAAGCGTCACGATAGTCAGCAGTAGGATGAGCAGACAGGAATACTTTGAAAGCAGTTACAAGCATAATATTGTACCCTGCTTGCTGCACAATGTATACCAAGGTAATTATAAACGGTCCATGAAAACCCCTGCGTGTCATTTGGAGACTTCCATGCTTCTTATGCTTGACCGTTAAGCTCGTGATGCGCTGACAGTCATTTTACTACTTCATATCACCTTTCGCAGCCCCAACGCTAAAAGAGTGCGGGAAATGCTTCCTTTTTAGCAATTAAACAAGTCCAAAAAATTTCAATTTAAATTGAGAAAAACCAGTTTGGGTATTTTTTTTTTCAACAAATATGTCCCTCACTGGCTCGCGAGGGGTCTGTTAAAAATAAATTTAACACCCATATTGAACTTATATTCAGACAGTGGTGTATATGTAACAGATGTGTTCAAACTAGTAAATGAAACTGGATAAAGATCCAGAATGAAAATAGGTAAGTGTACAAGATTTATTCAACAAAAGTTTTACTTAAGCTTGGGATACTTTGCTTAATAAAAGACTCTTCAACCAGAAGCTCCAAATTTGTGCGGCTGTTAGCTACAATATATTAGGAAATAAAGTTTAGATCCACTGTTACGGGTGTAAACTTTATTTTGAATTACTTTATATAGTATTCTTACTATAATTGGGAAATTATTCATAGTATAATCATTGTTCACCGTTATGATTACACCTAAGTGTTTTTATAAATGAGTTTTATTTAAAATAACTTTTGTGAACTATCTGTACATATGACTTGTAATTACACCGAAGTGTTTTCATAAATGAGTTCTATTTAAAATAGCTGTTGTGAACTACCTGTACATATGACTTGTAATTAAACCGTATGTACAGGTAGTTCACAAAAGTTATTTTAAATAGAACTCGTTTATACAAACGCTTAGGTGTAATTACAAGTCATATGTACAGGTAGTTCACAAAAGTTATTTTAAATAAAACTCATTTATAAAAACACTTAGGTGTAATTACAAGTCATATGTACAGGTAGTTCACAAAAGTTATTTTAAATAGAACTCATTTATAAAAACACTTTGGTGTAATTACAAGTCATATGTACAGGTAGTTCACAAAAGTTATTTTTGATAGAACTCATTTATAAAAACACTTCATCCAAATATGCATCAAATTCATTTCAGGTTTGACAAAGTAAACAATGCCGCTTTTATTCGACTCTGGAGTTTGTATATTTTACTGACAAATCCTTTCATGGAGCTAATTAAATGGTCGATTTTTTTATTTACTATTATAATACAACTGATAACTTAGAAATAATGTCTTATAAAACTATTTCTTTTAACTGCAATTGAAGTGAACGCTGAACTAACTATTTTAAACTTGACAAATGTCGAAACTTTATGCACCCTGACGACACACTAGTAAGTTTGAGAATTTATGCCAAAAACGTTATCTAAAGGCATTAGGTGCGATTGATCTATATTATACAGGTGGTACTGTTGCTGCATCTCCAAATGTTACTGTTCACCATCTTGTCGTTAGGTCTATGCTATATTTATATATAATTTTTAATTGCAAATTAGCAGCGTCTTGTGGAATCCTGGACAGTTGAACTACGAAATGCACAACTTTGTCTCATACGCGTTACATGCCGTTATTCTTATACAGAGATGATACTTCCAACAAGATGGCAGTAGCATCGGTACGAACACCTTTCTCACAACAAGCGACCATTAGCCTTTCCACTTCTATGTGTCAATGTTTTTATTAGTTACGACGAAAAAGCCCGAGTGACTTTCTGATTGGACGATGCGTCAGGAAGTGGAGAGTAAGTGTGTTAAACTCT